GTACACTTAACTTTGATCGGAGGAAGCCTTAGTTCTTTGAATCACATTAAAGGCAGTCTCAGCTAAAAGTTCTCGATTCTATGATTTTTAATTGATGTCTGTACACTTAACTGTGAAGCAGCTTAAGAAGAAGAGATCGAGTGGTGATAATTTTAGACTGTCAGGAGGGCTAAGTAAATCCTTCGCCAAAGCGATTCGGGAAAGCTCTTGTGATGCCACAATTGTCATACTTAATTCTGAGTACGTCCAATACGTCGTCTGTAGAATGCGGAAGAGCTTCATCCTGCTGAAACATTCGTTTTCATCCAGTTTTCGCAGCAAGCATCAGGAATAAAACTCGGTCTCAAAACCTCTAGCTTTCTGAAAGTAGCGTTTAAAGAGTCAAATTGTATGTTTAAATTACAGTCTTGTAGAAATTTTCTGGCTTAAGATCCTAAAATTATACTATGAACGAAATTCAAAACCAGCATGTCATCATCTGATGAACGCACTATCCCGAATCCATCGTACAATTTAGTGTCTAACTTATCCTAATATCAGTGTTGAATTTGGACTCTGTCCCCAGCGTAATCTAACGAACTTCAGGAATGATTCTTAAAATGAAAATTGAATTCGCATTGCGCAGGAAGAAGTAGAACTACTACACAGATCCGGAACTAGAGCACTGCTTTGTGAATTAGAGCAGTGTTTAATTGCATCTAAATACAACGTAACATAAATATATATATATATATGTAATATAATCTGTTTTATAATTAACAAAATCATCAGTATGAAATTATTTTTAGCTGTGTTTAATTTTCTAAGCTCTATATTTGCAGAGGATCATAAAAAATCTATACTAGCCACTGGGGAATAGAAAAAGGTAAGAGAAATTTCCTTTCGTTTATGATCATGAAATTTAGAGCATTAATTCTGTGGTGAGACCACAATCGGTGTGAACATAAAAACTAATTTGATACACTATTCGGAAAATAAAATTGAAAAAAGTAACATTGTATAGTATGACAAGCATGCTCCTTCGCAGAAATTGGATATGTACTGCATTATAATCATAAATGAAAGCAACGGAAAATTTTGCTTCAAGAGTTGGTTTTAGCAACTTGTAATATTTTAATATAGCTTTCCTGAGCATTTTTTCTTAATTACATTTGCAATAAATATTAACCGTTTAATATCAGAATTTGAATTAATTAATGTTGTCAAACATTTAATTATTTAGCATTTAGGAAGTTAAAATTTCAAAAATAAATCTTTTTTTTTGAAAGTTTACCTTTAAAAAACTCTTTGTTCCCATTCTATTGTAAGTTCCTAGCATTAAAACAACTAGTTACACAATAAATTGCATGTGATGATTTACTTTCCTTTAGTATTTATAAACAGTAAATATATTCAGCTGAAAAAAATATCTTTAAATTTTAATTTAAAAATTGGAAAAAACTATAATTACTATTCATTAATACAACAGATTCATTCACTATCTCCTCCTAAGTTACATATTTTAATAAAATTTGGAAAGGATATTTCATGCAACGCTTCAATATTATTGGCTTTAATAAGAAGTTTAGAAGTTGTACACAGTTGTTTCAAAAACCCGAAGAAATTCCTACATCTGTACCAAGAAGAAATAAGAGAAGAACCAACGGAATGGCTACATCTTACAGAAGAATCACTGGTATAACTTATATGTGCTAAACAGCGATCATTTGCCGTAATTACTCTGTCGCATAAAACACAATGAGACTCCAAATAATAAAAAACTATGTTATTTTCATAATTAAATTATGTACCTTTATATTGTGGCAACGGAAATTTAAAAATATGACTTAGTTGGTGGATTGAAAGGAATGTAATAATATTGTGCTAAAAGTTCAAAAAGTTAAATCTGACGTTTCAATGCAAAACTTTGCACTTTGTTTCAATGTAAACTTTGAATTAAGTAAACTTGTTTAATTCTTTGCGAAACTTAAATCTGCACCACATATAGTCGCTAATTATCTTCTCTCCCTTCGTTTTGTTTATTTCCTCCAGTAGAGAAGAGTGTATATGCTGCTACCCGAAGAGCTAAAAGTTCTTTAAAATGAAAAGAAAATGCTTTCTTAGAAAGTCTTTTATTTTCGATTTCTTTTTTTCATTACCTTAAGAGAACATTTGTTAATGAAAGTTATAATTTCAGATACAAAATTAAACTTCTCAAAAACAGTACCAAAAATCTTATGAATTTTGGAGATGTTAACTTCTACAGAATTTTTGTTTGAGATAAGTAAGATTAAACTTTTTTTTTTTTTTTTTTTTTTTTTTTTTTTGAGGAAAAAATTTGTTTTATTTTAATTTAAAAGCTATTGCCATCCATCTCATGGAATAAAAATGCTGATGGAACGGGTAGCATGCCTCAAATTTGAAGCAGGAAAATACTCAGTTTTTATCCCATGATCTCTTTCTTTTATTGGCTCTCGTACATTACTTCATTTATAGCACATTTATTGGCTTCATTACAGTGGATGAAAATGATATTATCCACAATATTTTCGAGATTTTTACGGTGATAAAATGATTTTTTTTGTTCTGCTACTGAATGTTCAAGAAGGAGTGGTATACCAATACAGCAATTTGAGCTTTCATAGTTACACTGCTTTTATATATATATACATAAAGTATTTCATATTTTTCCTTCCATTTGCATTGCTTTGACTTTCTTTTTTGTTAGAATTTCTTAGGTATGGTCTTACAAACAAAATATCATACAAACATTCTCAGTACAGAATTTACATTGGAGATAAGATAATGCTGGTTATAACGAATGTGATTTAATTTTTTAACCTTTCAATGGTTAATATATGTATGTAAATTAAGATCTTCTAGCATTGCAAATTTATAATTATTTGAAAGATTATTTTGAAAAATTAAATTTTGATTTATTTTATTTGCGTAATTTTAATTTACTTGTAAGGTATCTTATATTCATTAACGAGTTACTACTATGATATAAGTGATTACCATAACCTCTTTCCCGTATTTCTCAAGAGAATGCAAACTAGTTTTGTGTGATTTAAAATGAGGGTTTTGAAATTTTGGTTTAGAGCTACTGGCAATAGCGTTTTATTAATATTTCGAGCGTAATTTAAACCATCGGCAAGCGAGACCCTAAATAAAGCCAGAATATAAATATTAAGCAGAGCTTTGCTTAATATTTATATTTTGGCTTTATTTAGGGTCTCGCTTGCCAATGGTTTAAATTACGCTCTGGTTAAACATTTTCAACTAGCTTAATTTAATGTGTAATATTCGATGTTATCAACATTGTAATTTAATGGTCTGTTATGTTCATGTCCTTAAAATGTAAATGTTTCGTCTGTAACTCAAATTACGCCTTTAAGTTTAATTTAAGACTAAATAAAAAGATTTTCTAAACCTTCTTTAGTAGTATGTGAGTTATTTAAGACGTGGCGATAACTAGCTTTTTGTTTAGTAGGAACTACAAGACTTCAGCTCGAGTTACAATAGCAGCCCCACATACTTAAAATTACTTTTGCACTAAAATAATAAATAGCTTTACTGCAATACTTATTTACTTGACTTAATATCACTAGTCAAATGGAACCAAATAGTTTTAATATTATACAGTGTTTTATATTACACTTACCTGGGTGTGGATTATCGGGTTTGCGAATGCTCCGTGTGTGGCGGTGCTCAAGCATGAACACTCAAAGCTACGTGCGAAAGCATGTAAAAAAAGCTCATGTGTACACCACAAGATTTCCTTGCACGAAATATTAAATTATACGCATTTTTTCCTGCATGTCATTTAAACTTATTGAATATAATTAAATCTACTTCTTCGATAGGCGCATAAACCGCAAAAGAATAAACGCACTCTTTAAAATCCACTCTATTTATTTACCATATCGACAATCTGGCGTTACATAACAGCATTACATCTCATTGATTTTATAACTCAGAATGAGCTAACGTTATATCATTTGAAGAATTATCTAACCGTTGCCACATGTTCTATCCAAATGCTACAATAAATATAAAACGATGTATAAAAGAAATTAGACAAATACAAAAGAAGCAGTTGTTGTGGCGAAGCTTAGTTCCCTAGATTGGCAACGAATCTACTATTCTGCTAAGTTTCAAATGTAAACAAATATGGCTGCTATGGTAAAAAAATTGGCTTAGCCGCAATTGAAATTTTTTTGTGATAATTCTACAAATATTGCATGCAGGTTAACTAAAGGCATAAAAACCTTAACCGGAAGATAAGAACAACATAATTCAATCATTTTTAAAGCAAAAAATGTACAATTTAAAAGCATATAAGAGTAAAGAAACTAAGATCACTGAGCCGGGTAACAGAGTGGATATACAGTGATCCCTGGAATGGGACCAGAACTTTCCGCGAAAGCGGAAAAAACGCGAAGTAGGATTTGCCCCTTGGAATTTTCGTGTATGCGGGTACAAGAATTTTTTAAACATGTAAACAGCATTTATACTTTACACGTTTAAGACAAAAATTACAACATTTATTTAAGACAAAAATTACAAATTATTTTAGCAAAATTACAACGTTTACTTAACGTGTCAGTTAATTCATAAGGTTATTACAAATATACAGTATAAAATATCAACATTGCTTTCTGAGAGAGGCGAAGGGTCTTGTTTTGGTGGCGGAGGAGAGGCTCTCACTTGACTCATAGAATCTTTAGGCTCACTCGGAGACTCTTTTGCTGGAGGCGTTGACACGGTAGAGCCGAGGGGCTTTACCTTGGAAAGAAACATGGTGATGGGTAGTTGCTGTCTTTGTTTTTTTCTTTTCCTTCAAAATTTCCCTGTACAAGGACATGACTCCGTCAACGCGTTTGCTGAACTCGACAGCTCGAACCATATTGTCGTCAATGTCTTGTGCAAATTGTTGCATCGCTCTTGCCATGTTGCACAATTATTGCAGATCTTCCAGGGTAAGGCCACGCTTTTTAGTTTCGCCTTCGTTTTCTTCCTCACTTTGTCATCTCAAAGAGGTCTTCATCGGCCAGTGGGACCGAGTGGTAATCGATAAGAGCGCTGATGTCTTCTTTTGTCATGTCGCCAAATCCTGCATTCCTTATGCTGTGAGCCAGCCTCACCGCCTTCTTCACAGCTGAGTGATGAACTTCTTCAGGAGTGAGGCTTGGATAGTCGTGCACCCTGTTTGGCCATAACTTCTTACAGCTAGAATTTATGGTCTCACTCTTCATGTCCTTTAGTACTCCCTGAATATTATGAATATTAGACAAACATGAGTCACTGTTGTAACTGCCCCAGTATGCTTTTAAGCTGAATTCGTCATTGGCATTGTAAAATGCCAAGATGAGGCCCTCGATTGTAGAGGGAGTGTAAAGTGCCTTAAAGGCACGAATTACTCCTTGATCCATCGGCTGAGTTAGAGATGTAGTGTTCGGGGTTAAAATCTCTATCTGCACACCGTCATATTGTAGGTCCGTTGCATGGCCTTCTGCACAGTCCATCAGGAGAAGGACCTTAAAGGGGAGGCCCTTTTCAGCCAGATACAGCTTCACCTGGGGAATGAAGCAATGGAGGAACCATTCAAGGGTCAGAGCTTTCGTTATCCAGGCCTTGGAGTTATGCATTCAGAACACGGGCAACAGAGCCGTATTTTTGTTTTTAATGCCCGTGGATTTTTGGCTTTATAAATAAGGCCTGGCTTAAGCATAAAACCTGCCAGCCATGATGACAGTCACACGGTCTTTGTGAGCCTTCACGCCTGGCCTCTTAACTTCGTCCTTGAAGAGGAAAGTAAGCGAAGGCATCCTCTTCCAAAAAAAGCGTGTTTCATCCATGTTGAATACTTGTTCAGGGGGGTAGCTTCCCTTACTGATGAGGCTAGGAAACTCTTCCTCCACGTATTGATAAACAGCATCGTTGTCAGCAGAGGAAGCCTGACCATACAGAAGTACGTTTCTGAGGCCGTATATCTTTTTTGAAATTTTTCGAACTAGTCTTTGCTGGCTGAAACGCCTCGTCCTCGAGGAGGCGAATCACTCCTGGCAGCTCAATTACTGGCTCGTCAACACCTTCTTGAGCCTCTTCAATGTCGTCATCGGACAAGATTTAGTCGTAGAGAGCTTTGGCCTTTGTCCTGATCATATTAGTGTCCAAACTCACTGTCTTTTTCCTGCAATCAGCAATCGCAATGCCAGTGCAGCTTCCATTTCCACAATTCTGTTATCACGCGGAGTTACCACACGTTTCGCATCTTTATTTAAGGTTATTGAAGCAGTTTTGAGGATGTTTGCTTCCTCTTTCTTGATATACCGCACTGTAGATTCACTCATCCCGTAATGGCATGCCGCAGATGCATAACTTCTGCCCTCTTTGATCATATCTAAAAGTTTCAATTTTTCGATGATAGTCATCATCGTCTTCCTCTTGGGCGCTTCGGAGGAAACTTTCGCAGGGGCACAGCGCTTACGCAGCATTATAAGGGCTTAATTAATAAAAAAAGTTATCGCTTAAACAAAAAACGTTATCGCCAACACAACACTAAAATACAGTAGAGACAGTCAACATCACGGACAAGACTGGCAAGATACAACAAGAGAATATGCTAGGTGAGGCTGCGGTGATGCGCAGACAATCAAATCGCAGGGATAAATCCACTCGTACTCATTGGTCGATGTCGCACCGGAAACCAATCACGCGCCTTTATGACGCGCCCAATCACGTGCCCGTGGTATGTACTCTGAGTGAACTCATCTCTTTGTTTGACATGCAGGGATCCTTCTCTCTCACGCATCAACATGAAACAGCGCTCCTTTCCGCAATGTGGCTGCCGACATGGTTATATTTTTTCATTTTTATTTTTTAATGAGTATTTTAAAAAAACCCGCGAAGCACTGAAACCGCAAAACATGAAGCGCGAAGTGGCGATGGAACACTGTATATATAAATATATTTATATATGTTTTGGTGCGGCCGATTGCTACCAATATATGAGGTGCACATCTACATGTTATAGCAGTCCTACATACAAAATTTCAACTTTCTGAGGTTACTCGTTTTTGAGTTATGCGAGATACGTACGTACGTACAGACACCAAGAAAAATTCTCTTCAGAATTAATTTTAAAGGAGTTTTATAATTTTTTTTTGGAGGAAAAGAGTCTTTTATTCTGTCCTTACGTACAGATGTCACGCAAAAACATCGTTAAATTGCATTCGATAGCGGTCAAAATGGATATTTTCGTTGAAATATTCCTTTTTATTTCGTACAAGGAAGTAAAAACAATGACTCCTGTTAAAACTCTTTTAGACTTCACCGAAAAAAGGGAATTGAACATTCTCAAAATCAAAGTTAATTTACTGATTCTTTTTGTTTTAAGAAATAAACACGTGTAATATTCATAGAAATTGATGATTTGCATTATCTGTGTTTTTCAGTTATCCGTGGTCTGTTTCCCTGGCATTAGCTCCCGCCAGCGGCCGAGCGGTAACGTCGCTGAACACTGGTAGTTCGGTCCGAGGTTCGAATCCCGCGAACGGGCTGCTGCATGGGTTTTTTTCGTGGTTTTCCTTATGTATAACGTGTATACGAGCCAGTTTCCCTTAAGACGTCCTTCACGAAGCATCCCTCCCTTAAGGCAGATAGCCCACGAGTGCTTTGCAGTAATCTAATAAACCAAACCAAACTAACCCTGGCATTAGCGTGGGTAATCGTACGTTAATCACTAATTTATAACAGCATTAAATATTTGAGGAATATATTTTGAGATTCATTTTGTTATTATTTTGTTTTAAAAATTTGAAACCTATTCAAGTTAGAATAGGTTTAATTTTTTTTTTTTTTTTTTTTTTTTTGGATGATTCATTTAAATAATTTTAAAAAATACGCATGTAAAATCTCTTTTAATTTCGTTTTTGCTCCTATGGATAAGTAATGAATAAAATTGTAATCTAATAAATATCATAATTAATATCTTAAATTTTAGCATTACATAATTTTTCTGTTTTGCAATATTTCCTCATAATTTTAGTATTTCATTATGTTATAGTAGCATTTCTATATACAACGCGAAGAAGCTAACGAAGGAAGTTTTCTGTATTATATGACCTCTTCCCCTTAAAACTTTATGATATATTTTAAAAAATGCTACCTATTAATACAAAAATATATTTTATATTGTTTGCTTAATTATTTCAGTTATCAAGTTTTCAATTATGACAGTTTATCAAATTTTGATAAAGTGAATGAGGTATTATAAGGTAAATATTTAAATGTAGGAGGGATGGAGAAATTGTGAGTCTTCTTAAGCAGTCTTTATCGATCTAGATGATTGAATTCTGTTCATGTTTCGAGGAATAATTTCATTAAATACAGAAAATAATTTTAAACATTTTATTATTTTATCAAGATATCAATTTGGTATTTTCTTCAGTTTTTGTATATAATTATTTCACAGTTGGAGGTTTTCCAAAAAAAAAAAACCTATATTTTGGGAACTATTATTTTTTATTATTGAAATGTCATTTATTGATTTTATATCAACGATGCAATTTCAATTTTATGGAAATTATTTGTCCATAATTAAGCAGCACTCACGAACGAATTGTTTTGGCAGTATATCCTCATGCCTATCGTTGCTACTTAAAGACATTTTTAATAGTTTATAATAGTATTTTAATAGTTTTTAATAGTTTGTTTTTAAAAGTTTTAATGCTTATCGCAAGCTGCTAATTATCCTAAAATTTAATTGGATAAGCTTTAAAAGCCTTTTAATACTGTGACAAAAAAGTGTTTATTTTACTCACAAATATGTGTTTTCATTAGCCTATTTAAAATGTTAAGAAACATATGTAAAGGGTAAATTTGAATGGGAGCCAATTAAAATGAAAGGAACAGGAAAGCTTACCAACGAAGAGATAAAAACGAGTCCTGTAACAAGTGTTATTGATAGATGTTTCCAATTAATTTTCTATCTTCATCATCCATACAAATAGAATGTTCTTTATTTAGGAGGTTTTTTTGGGTTGAAATTAGATGTTTACTTTGAAAAGACCGAAAGCAATATAAAAATGGCAGTATAAAAACGCGAATAAAGTATCCATGCTTGAAAATGAACGCGATGTTAATGTAACGCTTTGGAATCGTTCATTTTGTAATCAGAAATTTTTTAAAGCCTTATAAAATATGAAACAGATAATAAAACAAATTCGAAATTTCAAATTTGGGCTTCCAGATTCCCATATTCGAGTGGAGGACTATGTTATTCAAAATTTGATATCTCCAGGTACCGTTGTTTTTTCACAATGCAAGAAACATGTATACATTCATGCAGATTCTTCATAATTTAATTTCTTTAAATATAATGCAGGGCTCTAATATTTGGCGGCAACAATTTGAAAAGTGATTCACATTTCTATAGTGAACCAACGCGAAATGCCAAAGCGAAATTAGTAGCCCTTCTGGGCAAATTGTTCCTTTGAGCTAATAATCACATCAACTATAAAAGTACGAGTAATTTAAATGTATTCTATCGCAAACTTGTGATTCGTATTTTTAGAAGATCTTATTCTGAACATTTATCGTTCCCTTTGGCTACTGCTTGGAAACGACACTTTTTAATTTAAAACTGGAAATATCCAGTTATGATACATAAATACACGTTACACTTTCGATAACTGAATCGTCTTTTGATATAATTCTTTTTCTGTTTGTTTTGCCTTGCAAATTGGATTTGCTTCAGGCAACATTTGCTTTTGTTTGATTATTTGCTTATACCTTCATTTACTAAGACGTTTATGGATTTTTGACTATCTTTGAGAACTAAAGAGAAGCCTAATTAAACCTTTTAGTGTCAATTAAGGTCTTTTGAAATTAATAGTTAAAAGAAATATCAATTTTTTCCTTCCTTTATAATGCATATCTTATGTTAAAATTTTACTACAAAAAAATGTCGCATTTGACAGATTTTATACTTTTGCACTTTTTTTAAACATAATTATAATTTTTAAACACAAGCAAATTAAATTAGCTTCAGTACGGTATCTGTGAAATCTATCAGTAAGTAATTTTATTTAATTGAGCCCAAAATACAACGTTTAGTTGGTTATATGTGGCATCCGTTATGATATTAATCTAAATATAATAGAGAGAGTTTGGCAACGTGTTGCCGGCTAAGCAGTTCAAACATCTAAATTTTAAATTTTAGATATTTGCAAAACAAAAGCTCGTAAATTTAATGAATAATTACTAGTAAAAATTTCGTATTTTATCTTCTTCATTTGAATAACTTAACGAACTGTACAGAACTGGCAGAAGCTGAATTGATTCGGCTTAGCTTCATCTTGAATGAATTAATTTTCCATTGCTAGAAGTCTGATTTCGCATTTAATTAACTATATTCTGTTTTCATTAGCCTGGTATAATCTGTACAATCACACCGTACTACTCTGTAAATCCGCATTCTGTGTTCGTACATAAATCTGTCATTTCATGAATCTGCCTTCCTAAACGTAAGCAGAGTATCTCTTGAAATTAAAAGATACAGGCAACATTACTTTTGCAATGAATGGCACTAAAAAACAACTTCATTTTTAGCGATTATTGGGCGTCAATAATTTATTTAAATTGC